GGGACAGTTGCATCTTGGCATACAGACCAGCACTCTGAAGAGCTGAGGCACAGGGCAGACAAGGTCAGGCATGGCTGTGAGAGGAGTTGGGAGTGGAAATGCCAGTCGGAATTTGTCCAGAGTGTGTGGATCTTGCCTTGAATCAGATGGGGCAGCACAAAGCAGCCCCCCCTTGGTTATCACCCACCTCCTCTGCAGAGAACTCTTCTCACAGGGCTAGCAATTCATATTGTGCACCCACTTCTCCTGATGGACAGAACAAGAAGTACGTGGAGCACGTTGCTGCATCTTTTATGTGCCGGGTCCATCACTTAATGTCTCCCAGATAAAGCTGCCAGCCATGGACTTGCTGTAGAAAGATGTTTCCTCCTGGAGAACTGGTGTGTTTTGTTTTTAAATAAATTATGACAGTGATGTGCTCCACCATGTTTCCATTTGTACCGTAGCTACTAGGAAGCTTGGCACTCAATCACTGAGTCATCCACATTGGGGATGGATAGATGTAATTTTCCTTCCTTTTACCATATTTTAAACCTTTAATTTCAAGTTCAACAGCCTTATTGTATACTTGGCTTTTATATTGTAACGCACTACCTACCCCTTTTGGAAATTGGAGGAAATCCGAAACAGATGTAAGTCACTATTCATGTATGGGTCTCCTCCGGGGAGCAGATGTATGCTGTGACGGTGGTTGGGTGGTGCCCTGCGGGCGTCCAGGCAGCTCAGCATGGAGTTTCCAGACTTCTCAATCAGTATGCAGTAGAGGAGGCTGTTTATAATGTGATTTAGAAATCCAATCTCATCTGGCTTTATGGAGTTTTGTTCTATTTAATATCAAGTGCTAAAATAGCAAGGCAGCCAAAAATATATTCAAGGAAATAGAATTTTTAATCATGAAACTGATCTCTGTGGGGAAATAGCTTTTATTTTGTCATAATAAGCTAGGCTGGCTACCAGAATTTGTAGAGCCATTTGCGTTGTAAATCAGGAAGGCCTGCCTGAAGATGGGGAGCATTAGGAGCGGCCATTCTTCCTCACGTCTGCTTCCAAACATGAAGGCCTCTGGGTTGGGAGGGGGTTGCTCTTACGGGACTAGGGCACTGGGCTCACAGACCTGTATGTATTATTTAGCGAGGTTGATCTGTAGTTCAGTTGAAAGTGCCAGAGTTGTGTGGACGGCTGGTAGAGTCAAGCACATCTGGGTAGTCTGCTCCCAGAAGGTTCTGTTGGTGTTGGCCCCAGGTTCACAGCTGGAAGAATGGTGCTTTGTCAGTTAAAGCCCTTGACCCTCACTCTTCCCTCCCAATGCCTCCTTCATCCTTTCCTCCATCCTTCTCTTTTGTGAGTTTGGTGAGAGCACATTGGCCTCTCTAGATGCTGGAGGGCAGCAAACAAGATCAGACCACCCTTAGAGGTGACATGGGTTTGAGCTCTCGCTACTTACTCCTAGAGTGCCTGGTGTCTGACATCCCCTCTTGGGGCATAGAGGGCATTGTCCCTGAGTGCCCTCCAGGGAAGCCAGCCTTCCAGACAGGCAAGTCCTGGTCTCAGGGCTGTGGCACTGAGACTTCCCATGGCCCCTCCAGTGAGGCACAGGCATTCACCCATGGTTCTCCCCTCTCCCCTGCTGCCTGCAGGTTTGGGTTTTTCTGGCTGGTTCATTGAGAGCTTACACAGGAATTATCGCCGGTCAGGGATGATGACCGCTTTCAGAGCCTAACCTTTGTTTTCCTTACCCATTGCCTGATTCCTGTAATTAGAAAGCAGAGATTGCCGTTTCAGCACTGTGTATGTTACTGTTTTTCAAGTGCTGCCTTTTACTTCTGTTAGTAAATTAGGTGTTCAGAGATGATATCACATACCAAACTTGCTGTCTTTAGCAAATTTACCGGTGAACAGTTCTGGTTGGTGAACAGTAAATTTTAGAGATGTGGTTAATAGGAAGAATCATATAAAAATGATTACTTATTTGCTTCTTAGAATGAAGCCAGAGTTTTCTTTTCTTCTATCTTGTAGTCATTTATTCATCCATTCATTAAACAGTTTAGCACTTACTGTATAACAGGACCAGCTTTATATTCTTATGTAAATGCCTCTACTTACTACGGAAAATAATGCTTTTTCTCTGAGAGAGAAAAAAAGACCCATAATATGTAGTTAGGAAGTGATGCAACCTCTAGCCTTTGGCATAAATAATCAACATGGAAGAAACAAATCTGTTGCAAGTATGGTTGAGGTGAAATAAGCCCTAAGAGCTGGGATATCCACCCTTGCTCTGCTGTGGGGCTTCAAGCAGAGACTTGGGAGTAACCCATCATTCTTGGCCCTTTTTGGTGGGGTTCCCAACTGTAAGGGCAGATTATATGGCCCAGGGCGGGGTGCTGGCTGCTGCTCCCAACCCTCCTGGTCTGAGTGGTTTGTTAATGTTGGCACAGGTCCACTAGTTGGCTCTCTAGTGTTGTCATTGTCATAGCAACAAGGATGTTTCTATAACAGTCCAGATTGGGAGCCTGTAGGGTGGGAGGAATGTGGATGAGACTGCATTCATATCAGAATAATATAATTTGGCATTTTCACATTTTTAAGTATCTGTTGTTCAGGCTCTTCTTTCTTTTATCCTACAGTCCCCACTTTGAGAGAGAGAGAGAAAAACATCAATGATGAGAGAGAATCATTGATCGCTCTCTCCTGCTCGCCCCCTACTGGATATTGAGCCTGCAACCCAGGCATGTGGCTTGACAGGGAATCGAACTGTGACCTCCTGGTTCATAGGTTGAAACTCAACCACTGAGCCACACTGGCGAGGCCAAAAAATAATTTTCAAAGGAAAATATGGTAAGCCCCAATTCACATCATAAAGGTGACAGTAGGAAAGTCAATAAAGTCAGGCTGGTTTGAGGTTAAAGATTGTGAACACTGCAAAAATGATCAGTTCCAGAAACAGAACTGGAAAACTGACAGGCCCCATGGTGAGCTTGGTGTGTGTTGTGTGGCTACCCATTCAGGTCTGCTCAGCGGAAGGAGCAGTCACCAGGAACCTGTGTCTGCTCCTCCTCATATCTCCCCCTCCACCTCCCAGTCTGGAGATGCCCATGGAGTCACGTCCTACCCTTTCCTGTTGGTGGGTTCATCACTCACTCTGCATGCATATGCATGTGCGCATATGACCTTTCACATCTGCCAGAAGCCTTCAGAGAATCTGTCTTTTGACATTTAACAACTGACTCGAAGCTTGGCTCAGATTCAAATGCCTCTTCCCAGATTGGCCATGTTCATTTGCTCAGCTCATGTAAAAATGGCACATTCTGGAAGGAAACCTTGTGATGTTAAGGTGTTTTAAGGATAATAGTGGCTATAAAAAGACATTTATTTGTTATTTATTTTTCTTCACCAACGGATAGCCATTGATGATTCCTTGATGAGAAAGAAAAATTTCTGGAACCTATTGGGTTAGAAAAGTCTCAAAGCTAGAGGGGCCTTGGAGAGTTCTTTCTTTTAGAGTTGGGAAAACTGAGGCCCAGAGAAGAAGGTAGGTCTCATGCCAGAAATGTCCACAGGCATAGATTAATACTGGTGCTGTTGTAAATCCTAAAAAACGCCTTTGTGTATCAGAAATAAGATTTATTGGCACAGAAGTAAATTATCAGCATCTACCTGAACTGTTGTTGGCATGGTGCTATGTGCCCACACCTGTCCCTCTTCCTAGTGCTGAGTCTGGTGCCAGTGCACGCCCAGAGCCAGGCATCTTTAGAACTGAAATGACTTGGTGACAAGGAAGACTCTGGGAGGTGATAGCATGTTCGAGGCATTTCTTCCATGTAGTGGTCTTCACCTGGGCATCAGCTGTCCCGGTTGAAAGCCACCTCTCATTCATTCCTGCTCGCTCTCAGTTCACAAGTAAACAGGGCTGTTTGGACAACCCCTCATGCTTAATCTGAGCTTCTAGCAGAGGGTGCTGGCCGTTGTGGTTTTGATAATGATCTCTAGACAGACCCAGGGTCAAATAGGGGGTTGTGACATTGTGGACATTTCCTGCAGGGCTGGCCAGGCAAGCTGGCTTTCTTGAAGGTTCCTCCTTTTTCTCCAAATGTGCTTGTGTGTGAAGGAAGGGGCTTGTGAGAGGGAGACACTCAACCTAGAGCAGCTCTCTCTTTCTGGAATTTTTCCTAACTGATTAATCACTCTGTATTTTAAACAGCTGTAGGTCATAGTTTACTCTCATCAATAAAGAGTCTTTCTCCTTAATTATTGCCCCAACTTTGACTAATATTACCAAATTAAATTCAAAATAAAAAAGGAACCTGGGGATTGAATGGTTAAGCAAAATGTGGCACATACACAATGGAATGTCATTTAGCCGTGAAAAGGAAGGAGAGTCCGACACATGCTATAGCATGGGTGAACCTTGAGGACATTAAGTAAAATAAGTCAGAGAAGGACAGATACTGTATGATTCCACTGCTATGAGGTTTCTAGAGCAGTCAGATTCAGAGAAACAGAAAGTAGAAGGGTGGTTGCCAGGAGGTGGGGGGAGGAGGAAATGGGGAGTTGTTGAAAAAATTCTAGAGATTGATTGCACAACAATGTGAATATATTTAACTCTACTGAACTGTACACTTGAAGATGATTGAGATGATTAATTTTAACTTATATATGTTTACCGTAATTTAAACATTAAAAAATTAAAGAGACTAATGTGAGTAAAACAAAACAAAATACCTTAATTCCTAGGTTGATGGATTTCTACTTTTATCAATTTGTTTTAGAGGTTACTGTGAATGCTACGTTGTATTTTTAACACCACCGATGGTATTTTCATCAATATTTTGACTTGTGGTAGCACGAAAACCATGACCTTATGAAGACCTAATGAATGTACAAAAGTGAAAGCAGGTGCCTTGCTATGAAATAAACCCATTATTTGGAAACGTGTCTGTGATTAGCAAGGGGACCAAATAATTATATGCTATGTTGATGACATACTTACACTTGCTTTTTAGGTGAAGCCAAAAATCTTCCCACTTACCCGGGGCCAAACAAGATGCGAGATTGCTATTGCACCGTGAACCTGGACCAAGAGGAGGTTTTCAGGACCAAAATCGTGGAGAAATCACTCTGGTAATGTCTGCTCTTGCTGTATTGGATACCGATAAGTTTTATTCAGTATGGAAACTATCCTGAACACATATGGCATCTTGCCATCTTCTGTGTTGCTTAGTTTGTGTGAGAATTAGGAAATGTCCACATGGCTCTGCCTTACAGGGCAGTTACAGCCAGAGCATCCATCCTCAGTGGCAAACTGATATTCCCCAGATGCTCGTGATGCCCAGGACTGGACAGCATTGGGAACAAAGCGCACATATGTGACTGTTTGTTTGCCTCCAAGACAATCTATAATAATAAAAGGGTAATATGCTAATTAGACTAGACATCCTTCCAGGCGTCATTCCAGACATCCTTCCGGATGAAGCCAGGGCTGGAGGGAAGCAGCCTGTGTCCCGGGTGCCAGAGGGAAGCCGGTGCCGGCAGCCAGGGGAAGGAAGGCCTACTCTTGCACAAATTTTTGTGCATTGGGCCTCTAGTGCAGCGGTTCTCAACCTGTGGGTCGCGACCCCTTTGGGGGTCGAATGACCCTTTCACCGGGGTCGCCTAAGACCATCAGAAAACACATATATAATTACATATTGTTTTTGTGATTAATCATTATGCTTTAATTATGTTCAATTTGTAACAATGAAATTGGGGTCACCACAACATGAAGAACTGTATTAAAGGGGCGCGGCATTAGGAAGGTTGAGAACCACTGCTCTAGTGTCTTATAAGAGATGGACTGGAAAGTGTATACTGCACCAGAAGAGTACAAATCAAGAATTTTGAGTGGGTAAATATTTGGAAAGCACTTTTTTTTTACCACCTTCCTTTAAATTTATCTAGAGAGGCATGCCCAAGATGGTCATAGAAGTAACAATTCACTGAGGTAGGAGCCCTAGAAAACATTTATTGATAGAATTTGAGGAAGACAGGGTTCAGGTAAGAAAGAGCAGCATCTAACAGGTCTTAAGACTGAGATGTTTGCTGTATAATTAAAAACATTAGTGTTTCTCAACTTTAGCTTGCTTAAGAATCACTTGGAAGGTTTATTAAAAACAGATGTCTGCCCCAGGATGTCTGGGGTGGGGCTGTGATTTGCATATATAACAACTTTCAGGAGCTTCTGCTGCTGGCCCTGGACCACACCCAGGGGGTAGGAAGTGATGGCAACTAAAAGTCACAGCAGTTACAGGGGGTGGGAAGTGAGAAACCAGAAATGCGAACAGTGAGACGGCAGAACATCTTGGTACATATGTGTTAGCAGGTGGGGGATGGGGGTAGTGGTTTGCAGTCTGGGGGAAGCATACCAAAGCCAGCAGTGGGGCCCTGAGCGTGTTGTTTATATGAAGTGAAGAAGAATCCCTGTGCAGCCAGTGACTCCACCTTCGGGTTTCGAATTATGGGTTGTGTGGGTCCATCCAAACAGCTATTTTGAGTTTGAGAACATTTTTAGCAGATGAATTATATCCTTGCAGATTGCTGCTTCTAAGTGGGAACAAACAACACATTCCAATGACTTAGTGAATTTAATTTTTTGAAAACTGCAAAGGATCTCCTGCCCCTGAAACATGGAGACATTTCCTTCTCCATCTGCACCATTGCCACCAACACTGGCAGGGCTCCGAGCTATTACAGTTGTGTTATTTTAATGCGTACACCAGATTCTCTGGAATGCTTTCCTGAAGAAAAATGAAAAGTCTGAGGAATTTGTCAGAGGTAAAGTCTGGTTTTGGGTTGATGATAAGATGACATTGGGGATGGTGATGTTACTGAACCTTCAAGGGTTATTTCCATTTGCCTAATGTGAGAAAAACCCTTTCCGTGTTTAGTCAATGTTAGAGGCCCATGGGTCATAGACTTGGAGGATTACTGTCAGTCTCTGTAAAGCACTACTCTCCTTAGGCTTGTGAATGAGGGTCTTTGGGAAGGGAATAGATTTGGGAACCTCTCTTTTAGGCGAGGTTGAGAAATGGGGACCATTGTCTTCAAAATATTTCAGGCAAATTGAGAAGTAGAAATCATGGTTTCTGGTTTTGGTGGCACTAGAAAATGTTTTTATGAAGCCAAAAAGGGAGGATGAGAGTTAAATAATGACAATGATTTACCTTTCTGGGAAACCAGCTGTAATACATCCAGAATCAGGTGTGAGCCCCTAAAATGCTGCCATAAGAAGCTAGTTAATTATAGTGAGTGCATGAGGTAATACTCCCAATTCATCAGAACTTCTAATCCCTCCACATACTATTCACACTTTTCTTACAGATAGTTTTAATAAACTTAGTTATTTTTGTTTATTAATTTATTCATTAGCTTAATGAATATTTATTGAGTGCTTATCTAATACTAGAGGCCCGGTACACGAAATTTGTGCATGGGGCGGGGGGTGTCCCTCAGCCCAGCCTGCACCCTCTCCAATCTGGGACCCCTCGAGGGTGGGATCGGGCCTAAATGGGCAGTCAGACAGCCCTCTCACAATCCAGAACTGCTGGCTCCCAACCGCTCACCTGCCTGCCTGATTGCCCCTAACCGCTTCTGCCTGTCAGCCTGATGACCCCCTAACCACTCCCCTGCCAGCCTGATCGATGCCTAACTGTTCCCCTGCTGGCCCAGTCACTCCTAACTGCCCTCCCCTGCTGGCCCAGTCACTCCTAACTGCCCTCCCCTGCAGGCCTGGTCACCCCCTACTGCTTTCCCCTGCAGGCCTGGTTGCCCCCAACTGCCCTCCCCTGCTGGCCTGATCGCCCACAACTGCCCTCCCCTGCAGGCCATCTTGTGGCCACATTGGGGCAGCAATCTCTGACCACATGGGGTTGGCCATCTTGTATGTTGGAGTGATGGTCAATTTGCATACTAATCATGACTAATTAGCATATCAGGGCTAATTAGCATACTTCTCTCTTATTATTGTGTTGGAGTAATGGTCAATTTGCATACTGGTTGTGACTAATTAGCATACCTTGTTGTGACTCTGAGGGCATCGTGACCAATTTGCATGTTACCCTTTTACTAGTATAGATACCAGGTAAGGAGAGAGGTACTGTTAGCAGAAAGTTAAAACTGACAGCAAAGAGATAAACCTACGCAAAATAATTACATAGTTTAAAAAATATTAGTATATGTGGCCATTTAGTATTGAAGCAAAAACCCTATTCCCACTGATGGACTTTGCAAGCTTGCAAACTAGTAGTCCCAAAGCTCTACTCTACAGTATAAGAAAAAAGACAAATGAGCCCACTTTATAAAAGAAGTTAGCAAGGGGCTGAGAATCAAGATAATGGCATAGGTAAACACCAGTACTTGCAGCCTCCCACAACCATATCAAAATTACAACTAAAATACAGAGCAGCCATCATTCAGAACTGCCTGAAAGCTGGCTGAATAGAAGTACTACAATTAAAGAAGTAAAAAAGAAAGCACACGGAGACTGGTAGGAAGGGTGGAGGTGCTGAACGGGCTGGTCCCACTCCCATAGGAGGCCTCTGCAGCTAAGATATCCCACCCAATTGGGGTAGATTTCTCCCAGACAGGGGTGCTTACAGGGGTCATTGTTTCTATGCTGAGACCTCCCCTGTTGCAGAGCAGACTGGCAGTCATATCTGAGTTTCCATCAGTGTGGCTCACACTGTTCGCTCTGCCCTGGTGATTCCCTGAAACCCCGCCCCATCCAATTTGCAGTCTCACCCAAGCTGTTTGCAGCAGCTTTTCCATATGAATGGCCTGTCCTGGCTCAGGCTTCAGACTTTCCTGAAATCTCTCAAATAAGTAGCAGTTGGCATCAGCGTGCCCCATACCCATCAATAACAGGCATAAAATAGCTTGGCCTCGCCTGGACACTTCCAAGCCCACCACAAGTAGCAGCCATCTGCAGATTGCTCTGTAGCACCTGCTGGGTGGCCCCAGGCAGTGGCTGACTTTGCACCTCCCAGGAGGCCCCAGAGCCAGTGCACCTGGTAGACAGCTTCACTGAAGCCCAATTGAGGCATAGAGGTGTTTCCTGCACAGCAGCTCTTCCACTGTAGTCATAGCTGGTTCTCACAGCCAGTTGGCCTGAAGATCAATTCCTCCCAGTGATGCCAACAGCAATCAAGGCTCAACTACAACAAGACTGTGCACACAGCCCACACAGGGGTGCACCTAGAGTGCCAAGCTCAGGTGACTGCAGAGGTTAAGCCACTGGGCCCTAGAGGACACCTACTACACAAGGCCACTCCGCCAACTCCAGGAGACATAGCAGCTCTACCTAATACATAAAAGCAAACACAGGGAAGCAGCAAAAATGGGGAGACAAAGAAACATGTCACAAATGAAAGACCAGAAGAAATTTCCAGAAAAAAACTAAATGAAATGGAAGCAACAAAACTACTAGATACAGAGTTCAAAACAATGGTTATAAGTTTGCTCAAGGATCTTAATGAGAGCTTCAAGGGACTTAGTGAGACTTTCAAGGATCTTAGTGAGAATTTCAAAGACATGAAAAGGACCAGTCAGAAATTAAGCATATACTAACTGAAATAAAGAATAACTTACTGGCATTCAACAGTAGAGTAGAGCATTTTGAGAATCAAATCAACAATTTGGACTATGAGGAAGCAAAAAACACCCAATCAGAAGAGCAAAAAGAAAAAGAATCCAAAAATATGAATATAGTGTAAGGAGTCTCGGGGACAACTTCAGCTGTACCAACATTTGCATTATGGGGTGCCAGAAGGAGAAGAGAGAAAGCTATTGAAAACCTATTTGAAAAAATAATGACAGAAAACTTTCCCTACTTGGTGAAAGAAATGGACTTACAAGTCTAGGAAGTACAGAGTCCCAAACAAGAGGAACCCAAAGAGGCCCACACCAAGACACATCATAATTAAAATGCCAAGGGCAAAAGACAAAGAAAGAATCTTAAAAGCAGGAAGAGAAAAGCAGCTAGGAAGAAGGAGGAGGAAACAAAAAAAAGATATGAACAGTAAAATGGCAGTAAATACATATCTATCAACAATTGAATCTAAAAATCAAAATAAATGAATAAGGAATCT